TGTCTCTGGTTCAAATCAAGAGCTCCAGGAGTTGGTGCCTCTCGGCCTACAGGCCAGGGCTCACCTGGGCCTCCAGGTCTTGTTCACAGGGTTCCAGCACTCCCCCAGTCACACCTGGGAAACCATATGGTGTTGAGGGGGTCAAGCCAGGGCTGGCAGCAGGCGAAGGCAGGCACCTAGCCCTGGCACTGCTACTCTGGCCTGAGTCTTTCAACATTTAATAAACTCATTGGAAAGTACAGTTTCAAACTTAAAATTATACTAGAGTTAAAAAGAAATTGTAAGAAATGTTTCGTAACCTTAATAGGCTCAAGTGACAAATACCCTAAGATAAAAAAAAATTATAATAGAATAGTAAGAATTAGATAAGAAAAAAGTATCTGATTAAAAGGTAGGTAAAGAAAAAAATATTTGGTAAAGCATTTTTAAAAATCCACATTAATGAAACTGACATTAGGGAAATTTCACATCTCAAAAATTTATAGAATGAGAGGTGGAAGAAAGGGTTAACTAGAAAAAAACAAATCAATATATACTGTAAAAACAATCAATATTCAAGATGATAATTTTAAGTGTGTCAAATGAAACCAGAGCACTTAAAAATTATTTTAACGGTTATATAACATTCTCCGGGTCTTTCTCATAAACATACCTGAGTTAACTCTGTAGTTAAAAGCAGCATATATTTCACTCCTAACCAGAAAAAGTGCGAACTAGGGGGCCAGGGAGAGAGCTTGAAAGGGAGGCACATATACCTTGTATGCAGAAGGCCCCAAGTCTGAACCCGGGAGCTGTCAGGAGCAGCCCTGGCAGCTCCCAGCACCTCCAGACCCAAGAATACCAGGTCAGTACATACAACAATCAGGATCAAAATCACCAGATCAGATATTGCCAGGAGTAACTCGAGCTCCTGAGGACCCTAGAAGGACCACCCCAATCAAAGAAAAAGGGTTAACTATACAAATAAAATGATACACATGATGGGGTCAGAGAGATAGCAGAGCGGATAGGGCGCTTGCCTTGCGCACAGCCAACCCAGGTTCCATCCCTGGGATATGGTTCCCTGAGCACCACCAGGAGTAATCCCTGAGGTAGAGCCAGGAATAAGACCTGAGAACTGCTGGTGTGGCCAAAAACCCCTTCCCCAAAATATGTTAAGAATGAAATTAAGGAACGAGGGAGCAATCATCAGGAGTCAGGGGGAACGTACTTTGAATGCACAGTGAAGTACCCCCCCCAAATCAATGCAATTCATACAAAAAAGTAAAAGTAACTGGAGAGCAACCATCAGAAAATGAGAAAGACTTTATCTCTGAAACACACAGAAAACAGAAATAAGTTAGCAGATAAAATAAAACACACTGGAGTATGGTGCTGCCAGCAGGTCAGTCTGTACCTGTGAGGCAAGTGCATCAGCAGCCTGACGACACCTTCAGATTTCTTGATACCGCAGAATTGCTGTGGTGCCTTTGGCCAGACCCCAACAACTTGGGGCCACGTTTATCAAGAAAGTAAACAGCCAAAAGTTAGGTATGTGGGAGACACACCCACAAACCACCTCGAGCTCAGCTATATAATTGGAGGCATGGCCTCTCTGGTTCCTGACCGAACTGCTTAACGGCCATGATCCCAGAGACTCAGAAAAAAATCTTGGAACCTGGCAGAAACTCGTCCAGTCCCTGCAGTAGGTTACCCGCACTAGGCCATCCCATGGGGGAAAAGGTTCAGTCCCTCCAGCTGCTCCCTCTTGGCGGCTCGGTAGCTGCCATCCTCCAGAGGCCATTGGACAGTCAGGTTTGGGCCTGCAGTGATGAGACACATGGGGCCTTACAGGATGGGGGTGGGGCCAGCCCTTTCCTCCCCACCCCAATGAGACCCTGGCCTCTCTGGCTCCTAATCAAGCTGCTTAACGGCCATGATCCCAGAGATTCAGGAACAATCTCGGATCCCAGCAGATTTTGGCAAAAATTCCTCCAGATTTAACTGTCAAAATTTCAAAATTCCAAAATCGCGCAGCCACTACTGTGGCCACGTGACATCATATGTTATTCATAACCAGCAATTAAAAAAAAAATTTGTCTACTGTTGCCTTTTCGGCAGATGAATGTTGGGGTAAAATCCCAAATAATAATGGTGGGTCTGGTGTCAATATATTGAATGTGATCAAAGTAGAGAGAGAGTAATGTGGAAGTCATCTGCCCCACAGGTAGGGGGGTATGCTGGGGTTTTTGGTGGTGGAAAATGGGCACTGTGATGAGACAGGTATTTCATCATTGTGTGACCAAGACTTAAACCCAAAAGCTTTGTAACTACTTTCACGGTGATTCAATAAATAAATTTATAAAAAAGGAAAAAAAAGGGTGGAGTTCATGCCCAATTCAATCAGCCTAATCAATGGCTGAATAATTAGCAATACTCCTACATTCACTGTAGCACTGTCCTCCCGTTGTTCATCAATTTGCTCAAGTGAGCACCAGTAACATCTCCATTGTGAGACTTGTTACTGTTTTTGGCATATTGAATACATCACGATTAGCTTGCCAGGTTTTGCTGTACTCCAACATTAAAATAAATAAATAAATAAATAAATACATAAAATAAAACACAACCCAGAACACAAAAGGGACCTTCAATGATAGACAGTGGAAAGCTGGTTATCCACATCCAAAATGGATGGCTAGAGAAAACAACTTCAAACTGCGGGGCCAACAAACAAGAGTGATCGGGAAAAGAAGAAAAAAATAATTTAAAAAAAAGAAGAAAAAAAAATTAAAAAGTTATGAGGAACCATTTTACTTGAAACAATCTGCCATTTTGTTTTTCCAGAAAATAAAACTTTTGTTATAATAAAGAGTTTGGAGTTTCTCTACCTTTAATATAAGCTAATATTTAGTTCCTTTATCTAACAGCAATAAAATTAATTCCAATGTCACATAGGCATATGCATGCAGGATTATAATGCAAGCTGAGATTCTACTTATATTGCTTTATTCAAATTTTAATAATATAAGATAGTATCATGTCAACTCTAACAAAATCCATATATCAGCCCAGAAGCATCAAACCCAATACTTTCAAATTATTGTCTTTGAAATAGCAGCACAAGCACAGATGCAATTTTTCCTCCTTCTGGAAATCCTACATAAGGACCAAGAAAATATCTTTCATTTCCATTTTTAATTATCAAAAACTTCTTTTTAAAGGAGCCTTAATTTTCAGCAAAAATCAGAGACAAATATAATCCAGATTCTAAATGTAGGTGTAAGGGTCAGAGTGATAGTAGAGTGAATAAGATGTTTGCCTTGCATGCAGCCAAATCAGTCCTATTATTTTATACCCTCCAAAAGCCATACACCCTTTCACGGTTATAAATTTGTATTAAAACATCAAAGAGGAATTTGGAGCTGCAGCTCAGTGGTAGAGCATCTGTCGTAATTAAGTGAAGTCCTAAGTCCGCTACTTGGCATCGTCCCACATCACTGAAATCACAGGTCTCACAACAAGGATAACACCTGGAGCAGCAACAAAAACTACAACACTCCCACCCACACTGCAACTATAACAAAGAAATACAAACCTCATAGCAATTAGCATTCTACATAAGAATGGTACATCTGTGCAAAAGATTTAGCATTCATAATATCATTTTATCAATCCCATGAGCAAAGATAAAAATAACAATATTTGGGCTTGAATGATAATACAGTGGTAAGGCCCTCCCCTTGCATACATACAACCTGGGTTCAATCCCCGGAATCCCATTATGGTCCTGTGAAGCCCATCAGGAGTGATCCCTGAGCAGAGAGCCAGGATAAACCCTTGAGAACCAACAGGTATGGCTCAAACACCAAAGAGGGAGAGAGAGAGAGAGAGAGAGAGAGAGAGAGAGAGAGAGAGAGAGAAGCACTCAAAGTGTTGTCTGTGGTTACTGTTTATATCCAAAGTCTAATACCAAATGGAGTGGACAAAAAAAACATCTAGCATACATTACAAAAAGTTTAAGCAGAACTAAATATGTCACTATATTTGCCATACTACCTATCATGACCACCCCTCCTCCAAGAAAAATTCCATTATGTATCTTTATTGTCAAATATTATACAGCAGTTTAAAAATAATGTGGCAATCTCTACTCACTATATGGAATATTTCCAAGCTACTGTAAAGCGAAAAATCAAAGAGCCCCTGAATATTGAGCATCATGCATTTTAAGTGTCAAAGCAACCAAAAAAAGAAAAGAAAATCTTTAATGTGTGCATTTATAAATATATGGAGCAATAGCATAGTAGGTAAGGCGTTTGCCTTGCACGCAGCCGACCTGGGTTCGATTCCTACACCCCTCTAGGAGAGACCGGCAAGTTACTGAGAGTATTCTGCCCACACGGCAAAGCATGGCAAGCTACCTGTGATGTATTCGATATGCCAAACACAGTAACAACAAGTCTCACAATGGAGACGTTACTGTTGCCCGCTTGAGAAAATTGATGAACAACAATGGGAGGACAGTGCTACAGTGCTAAATAAATTTTCAATAAAAGTACAAGACACAGTTGGCATTCAGAAGGCCTAAAAGAAGAATGGTGTGTGTGTGTGTGTGTGTTCGGAGCTTGGTGGGCTGTGGATAAGAAGACCATATGGGATGCCGCCAGGGATAGAACCTGAGTCAGCCATATGCAAAACTGTACTTACTATACTATCATTGCAGCCCTAAAAGGTAATTTTTTCAATCTATAATTCTACTGCTTATTTTTTGGAAAACCTGCTAAGAACATCCATTGATCAAAAAGTATTACAAAAAAGCAACCTATAGCTTAAGTTTCCCTCACAGAGAAGTATATTGAAGAGAATTATACTGAATACAATGGTACATATTTATACAGAACAATACTGTAGTCAAGTAATTTCTGGAAAAATTAATGACAATTAGGCAATAAAGCATCATTTATATTCTTCTCACAGCTGAATTATAATACACTGCAAATACTAATAGAAAACTTTACCTTTCTTGAAGTATAAATGTCAAAAAATGGCTTATTTCTGACACTAAATGGTTCCTGTGTTTTGTCAATGAGTCCATTTTTCATTTTCTCATGGCGAGGATTTATTATTTCACGTTCTATACATTGTAGACGAATATTAAAATCACAATCTCCAACTGGCTGTGCCTGAATTAAATAAAATAATTATATAAATTATATCACAATAATTCTAAAGGCTGTGTCTCATTACATACAGCAGTCTACGAAAATAGCATCCTTTATATCATCCAATTCATGGCCTAAACATCCAGACATGACAGCCTGATCACTGATTTGACTATAGTAGAAAGGTCCTAAACATGAAAACATACAGTTTTTCTTTAAGAATAAATTTTAAGACAGCATAGAAAATGCCATAGGTATACCATAAGAAAATACTTGTGGGTTTTGATGCATATTTTTGCATTGAATGAAAATATATACTATATACTCACTAATCATGTTTATTATTTATATAAGCTGGTAACACCTTCATAAAATTGAACTCTACAACATTCAAGAAATCATAAGCAAATAACAAAAATAAGCAAGTTATTTTTAATGTTTTTGTTAGTAAAGTGCTTTACAAGAATCAACTGAAAAAACTTACATAACCTTCAAAAATTAATATACAGCAATTTATGTTAATTATATAGTTATAAAGTTCCTATTTCCCAAGTTTCACATCTACATAATACATTTATATTTACATCCATACCATGTGATATGGGTGGGGCGATAGCACAGCGGGTAGGGCATTTGCCTTGCAAGCGGCCACCATGGCCGACCCGAGTTTGATTCCTCCACGCCTCTCGGAGAGCCCAGCAAGCTACCGAGAGTATCTCGCCCGCACGGCAAAGCCTGGCAAGCTACCCGTGACATATTCGACATGCCAAACACAGTAACAATTGTCACAATGGAGATGTTACTGGGCCCGCTTGAGCAAATCGATGAACAACGGGAGGACAGTGACTATGTGATATGTGTTATGATCTGAGATCAAACAAGCCACTTCAGCCCCATAGTGTGTAGGGCATTTGCCTTGCACGCAGCTGACCCAGGCAACCCGGGTTGAATTCCTCCGCCCCTCTTGGAGAACCCGGCAAGTTACCGAGAGTATCTCACCCGCACAGCAAAGCCTGGCAAACTACCCATGACATATTTGATATGCCAAACACAGTAACAAGTCTCAAATAGAGACGTTACTGGGCCTACTTGAGCAAATCGATGACAACAGGAGGACAGTGCAGGACAGTGCAGTGCTACTATGTGATACAAGTTTATAGTATGGATGACTTGAACAATGCATAAAAAAAACACATGTATGCTTTGTATGAGTTGAAAATGGGAATTGGTCCCATATATACAGTACATATAAATATAGCTACAAGGCTATGGTTGACTGTAAACATTCAAATTATAGTATATCAACTCAATGGCACTTTACTATTCTTTTCTTTGCAATTGGACACTCCTCTATGCATAATTTCGTATCTTTTTTTTTCTTTTTTTTTTTCCATAGCACAGCGGCAGGGCATTTGCCTTGCACGCAGCCAACATGGCCGACCCGAGTTCGATTCCTCCGCCCCTCTCGGAGAGCCCGGCAAGCTACCGAGAGTATTCGATATGCCAGACACAGTAACAACAAAGTCTCCAATGGAGACGTTACTGGGCCCGCTCGAGCAAATCGATGAACAACGGGAGGGCCTTTATTTATTATTTATTATTCCATCCTCCAATCCATACTTTTCAGGCTAACATTTACCCAACATAATGTTTACACAGGATAACAACCTTGCTTAAAAATGGATGACTTTTGGGGTTGGAGTGACAGCACAGCAGGTAGGGCGCTTGCCTTGCACGTGGCTGACCTGGGTTCTCCCAGTACCCCATAGTGGTCCCCTGAGCACCGCCAGGAGTAATTCCTGAGTGCATGAGCCAGGAGTAACCCCCATACATTGCCAGACGTGACCCAAAAACCAAAAAAAAAAGAAAAAAAAGAAATGGATGACTTTTTCTTAACTTTTGAAATAAGACAACTGTGTTACTCAGCAAAGAAAGGAAGACAAAAGAAAAATGAGCAGGAGATAGAATATGATTCCTCTACTTAACTACCTGTAAAGGTTATTCATTGATGAAATGCTAGTAAATAGTCACATAGTCCATGGGTAATATTTTCTATACCACCTGTGTCAACAATGAGGTTTAAAAATCCTAATTATTTTTTTCTTTTTGGGTCACACTTGGTGATGCTCAGGGGTTATTCCTGGCTCTGCACTCAGGAATTACTCCTGGCGCTGCTTGGGGGACTATATGGGAAGCCAATGATCAAGCCCTGGTTGTCTATATTCAAGGAAAACCAACACTGTACCTGCTGTACTATCACTCCAGCCTAAACCCTAAAATTTCTTACTTAATCATTAGGCCTATTAGGTTCATTGGAACACCTATATGTTAAATTGGCCAAGGATGGCCCTGTTTTGTTTTGCTTTGCTTTGCTTTGCTTTGTTAGGACCACAGCTGGTAATGCTCCAGGAGACCATGCAGAGCAGGGAATTGAGCTGGACCTCCTGGCAAAGCAAGCATACTTACTCTCAGTTCATTTCGTTGTCTCTCTGGCCCAAGGCCTCTTTTTTAAATAAAGAAAATCAAACGCCTAACAACTATTAAAATACATACAATTAATCTAAACTCCCTCCTGTATGCATTCACTTAAACCATACATAACTTCACGAAACCAAAACGAAGACCAGATTCACCTTTAAATCCATGCTGCCTCTGAGGCAGAGAAGAGTCCTGACAAACAGCCACTGAGAGACTGCAGGAAGCACTCCATAACTATTGACTAACCGGCCTCCCTGCTCTAAGCGGTCTCACTTTAAAACACTACACATACCAACAAAAGAGCTATTGTTCCAAATATTAAAGTGCAATCGTACCATTACCATACATAAAGCCCCTCAAAGTACCCTACAAGCTAAGCTTAAGAGGCCAGGGATGTGGCTCGGCAGTGGAGCACATACCTTGTTGGTTAGATCACCAGCACCAACCAAAAGGAAAAGAAATAAAACCTCCGCTAAAATGCCTGACTCAAAGAATCTGAACCCCAAGTCACCAATTCATTCTGTTCCACATCGCAACACAAAGCAACAATGTTAACCACCACTTAATGCTCTGGACTATCAAACCCAATCCTTCAAAATTAATCTGTCCCTTTTGCCACATCTAATTCTACATTTTAATGACTTTAATGACTCAATCACACTCAGGGCAAAACACTACCTTTCAGGGGCCAGAGAGGAGGTACAGCAGAAAAGGCAGTGGCCTTGCACAGAGCTGACCCAGGTTCCATGCCCAGGACTGCATGAAGTCTTCTGAGCATCAACAGGAGTGATCCCTGAGCACAGCTCTGTGTAGTACAATCCCTCCCCGTGCAAATAAAATGTTTCTAAAAATATGCTTTTAGTACCTCAAATAGTTCCATTTATCATATACTTTTGTACTCCACGACTAATTATTTAATTATATTTATATTCTCACCCATAAAACTTGTGGAAACTTTCACAAAGGAAATCTCATCATTTCCTCTGCTTTTACAATAATCTAAGCAAATATCCTTTAAAAATGAATATTAATCTTTAATAATCATATGCATGTAAATGTACATCAATACAGAAATAAAGACTAGATAAAAAATTTTAAGAGTTCTCTGGTTTCTTTCCAAATCCCACTTAGGTGGCACTGATAGTATAGTGGAAAGCATAGCTGCCTTCCAAATCCCACTTAAGGAGCCTTCTTTGGGAGCCAGTGCACTAGTGATTTTATTAAAATGAAAACTGTAACTCACTAGACACTGATTTGGTAAAGATATTGTTTACCTTACATATAACCAAGAAAGAAGTAGAATCCATGTGGTTAAATCACAAAAGAGAATTCCAAACAAAAGTAATACTAACCACATTAAAACATACTTAACTTCATCAATAATCAGGAAAAAAGTAAATTAAAACAAAATAAGATACCATTTGACACACATCAAATTGACAAAAAGTTACATGTCTGACAAAGTCAGCTGTGGTAAGGTGATACAACTATTTCTGAGAAAAGTAACAATTTTGTTTTGGTTTGATTTGGTGCCAGGAGTATGGAGCACAACTGGCTGCGCCCAGGGCTTATTCCTGATTCTGCACTCAGTGATCACTCCTGGCTGTGCTCAGAGGACCATACAAATGCAGGATCAAACCCGGGACAAGTGTGCAAGACAAGCACCCTACCCACTGAACTATCTCTCAGGCCTGAGACTTTGAACAATTTTAAATGTTAAAAGAATAATAATGAATCAAGCTGAAGCTTCCAATTTTACCAGAATCTCCATGACCTAGCTACCACCTGCTAGTTCTGGGGAGCGAGCTAAAGTGGTATAGCACATGCCGAAGGGTGAGAGTAGGCCAGCACTGCATGGCTCATAGCACACCGAGTGCGGCCCTAGTGGACCCAAACACTTTCAAACGTGACCCCCTAATCAAAATTGCTTAAAATAATGAAAATAACATTCCCTAGGTAATCACATCCTAAGAATAAAAACTGTAATACAGAATGCAGTTACACAATTATTGTAGTGTATATGTCCAAGAAGTAGAGATTTCATTACACTGCCATTGTGTTAGGAAAAATGGAGAGTCACATGGCCATCAAACAGCAAATTTAAGGAGCTATAAACGTAATGCCCAACAGTAAAGTGAATATACTGAATGTACACCTATTAACACAAATCTCTACCAAGTAATGTGAAATAAATATTCACAGTACCATTGTAGGGCAAAGATACTAAAACTCTTGCCAAAAAAAAAAAAAGAGAAAAAATTATATGAGAAACTTCCATGGAATCTGTAATGATTAATTTCCCTGGTTTCATTTCTTTCAGTGATTTATTTATTTCACTCCCAGCAATTCTTGGCCAATATGGACAATTTCAATGGTAGGTCCCTAGGATGTGGTGTTCCTCAGACCTGAGGTGCCAGTGGCCAGGGTCATCTGACAGTTTTAGGGGTCTCCAGAGCCATACCCCGCAACCAGGGCCTCAAGGACTATAACCAAGAAAGCTGGGAGGAAGAAGGGAAGATGTGGTAGTGGAAAAGAGGCAAGGTCACACATATACAAGGCATACCCTCTAACCCCTGTACTGTCTCCTTTGCCCCATTTTCTTCTGTTTGCTTGTTCTGGTATTTTTGCGGTGTACACCATGGGTTCTCAGGGGTCACTTGTGGCAGTCCTCAGGGGACCATGTGTGATACTGGGGATCAAACTCAGAACTCCAGCATGCAAGGCATGCACTCTAGTACCCCTGACTTAACTTTTTACTAAAAGAAACTGCAGTGAAAAATAGCAAACCAGGGGCCGAAGCAATAGTACAGCAGGTAGGGCACTTGCCTTGCACGCAGCCTACCTGGTTTTTAATCCCTGTCATCCCACATGGTTCCCCAAGCACCACCAGGAGCAACTCCTGAGTATAGAGCAGAGTCAGGAATAAGCCCTGAGCATCACCAGATGTGACCAAAAACAAACACGAAAGAAAAAAGAAAAAGAAAAGAAAATTGGCAAAACATTGGGCTTCAACAAATCAATACTTGGAAAATTCTCAAACCATTGTCTATACTTTCATGTACAATGAAATATTTCATTCAATTTTTTTAAGGGAAACAAAAAGGCTGGTGTCAAATAGAAAAGTTATCAGGATAAGAAGTAACTGCTTGGGGCTGGAGCAATAACACAGCGGGTAGGGCGTTTGCCTTGCATGCGGCCGACACGGGTTCGATTCCCAGCATCCCATATGGTCCCCCGAACACTGCCAGGAGTGATTCCTGAGTACAAAGCCAAGAGTAACCCCAGGTGTATCGCCGGGTGTGACCCAAAAAGAAAAAAAAGAAAAAAGAAGTAACTGCTTATACTCACGAATGACATTTGTGCCTTCAAGTTACACCTATAACATTCAAAAGCTGTTTGCTTTCTTGCTTTCTTTAGTGGCAGACTAATAAATTTGCTCAGCAATTTTTAAATCAAAGAATACCCCAAAACTGGCAATTTTCATTCACTTTATTTTATAAGCAGTACTCTTCTCGGTCGGAGAGATAGTGTGGCAGATAGGGAGCTTGCCTTGTACTCAGCTGACCAGATTCAATCCTCAGCACCACACACAGTCCCCTGAGCCCCAGAAAGAGTGATCCCAGAGTGGAGAGCCAGAAGTAAGCCCTGAGCACTTTCACATATGATCCAAAAAAGAAAAAAATTAACAGCTGAAGCCTTCTTTACTCACTTGATGCAGCAAAAAAATCTAAAGACAAAGAAATGCGAAAAACACTAGCCATAGATATAGAGATATAATTAATAACAAGATTTCAATAGTGTTAAAGTGATAGATTTTTTTTCCTACCCTAAGGCAACACTTTATATTTATGAAAATCCTTCAATTGTCTCAGTGGAAAAAAAATAATATATAAAAAGTACTTACATTGAATTTAACTATGTCATATATCAAGTATCTAGGAACAGCCTGTCCATTTACTTTGTCAATAATCATTTCCTTGAAAGAGAAAAGAAAGTTAAGTTACTTCATACTTTTATAGGAATTTCCTTAATTTATGTACACACAGTAACATAACATACATACAGAAATTTATAAATAATTTGATGAAATTTCACAGTAGACATACATATACCCAAATAAAATAGACTGGAAATACCCCCCAAAGTTCCAGTATTAATTACGATGATAATCAGTGCAATGTGGAAAGTGGGGTTTGTGCCAGCTCAGCAATGCTCAGGGCTTGTTTCTCGTTCTGTGTTCAGTGATCAGAACTGGTTGTGCCTGAGACAGAACCAGAGTTGGTCACATGGAAGGCAAGCACTTACCCCTTACAAATACACAAGTCTGCACTTAAAAATTTTGCAAACTGGGACACAAACGAATCTCGGATCCGAGCAACTTGCTGCAGAGATGGCCTAGGATAGGCCTTTTCTGCGGGGCTGCTGGCAGATGCTATGCCTCCGCCTGCCCTCTAGGAGCTCCGGTGGCCGCTGTTTTCTCGAAGTCAGCAACAAACTCCAGGTAGAGTGATGGTGATGGCAAATCCCAAGCCCCACGGGACAGAGGAGGAGTGGGTCCTTCTCCTTCCCCTGCCCCGATGGGACTTCAACACATCCAGCCACCATCTACTAAAGCTCCCACACGGCCACGATTCAGAGACACACAAACAAATCTCGGACCCAAGCAACTTGCTGCAGCGATTTCTTCAGACCCTAATTATTAAAATTTTAGAATTCCTAGAGCATGTGGCCACTCATGCGGCTGTGCGACATCATATTGTATCCATAACAAGCAATACAAAACACGTCTACACTGCATTTTTGGCAGATATGAGGGGTGGGGGGACTGGTCTCAAAATATCGAAGGAAACTAAAGTAGAGAGAGAGAGTAGTGTGCAAATTGTCTGCCACACAGGCAGGGGGAGGTGAGGGGGAATACTGGGGATTTTGGTGGTGGAAAACAGGCACTCGTGAAGGGATGAAGGGATGGGTGTCTACAAAGGAAAAGAAACATAAATGTCTACAACAGGTGAACAAACAAAATGTAGCCTATTCATACTCAAAAACTGCTCATCGAGTATTTTCTCAGCCTTAACAATGTACTAGACATAATTTTAAGCATTGGGGAAATTATGTATGCATAATTACATAGTACAACATGTATATATACTTTGAAGAGAGTATTCTAAGTGAAATAAACTAGTACTGTATCATTTAATTTACATGAGGTATCTAAAGTAGGTACTTCTAGTTCTAATTTATAAAAATGAAAGTAAAAGGACAGTTGTCATCAGGAATGAAGAGCTATTGAATGGGTATACATTAAAAAAAAAAGCTACCATGAAATTACAAAGTTATTCTCCTAGCTCTGCACTCAGGGATCACTCCAATCCCTTCCCCAGTGTCCACTTGCATCCATCAGTGCCCCACCCCCACCTTTTGTACCCCACCCTAATCCCTAATCCCTAATGGGTATACTTTTACAAGATGGAAAGTTCTCAAAGAAGTTCTCAAAAACTGTCATACAACTATGAACTAGACTTAACACAACTGAACTGCATATTTTAAAATTTCAAGATGTTAAACACTGTCTCCTTCATGAGCTTCCTGCTCTGAGTGGCCGGTGAGGGCTCACAGGGCTGGAGCACCCCTGTGGCATACACAGAACCCCAGGTTTTATCCCAGACATTCATAACTTCTAGCATCAATGATGGAACGCTTAAGAGGCCACCCTCTCAAAAAAAAAAAAAAAATTGAATTCTGAGTCAGAGAGATTGTTCCTGAGTTGAGCACATGCTGTGCAGATAGCCTGGATTCAGTCGGGGGCACTGCATGGTCCCCTGAATGTGGCTCAAAAATGGAGGAGAGGGAGAGGGAGGGTGAGAAGAAGAGGGGCAATGACTCTACATCTTTCAGTATGAAATGATGCTGTGGAGAAGTGAGAAACCTGAATTCTTCATTATGGACCAATCCCAGCCCCCCAAAAAATAACACACTTGGCGTGTTTGAACACTCCTTGCATGTCTGACTGTACTTTTCTGTATTACACTCCCTTTAGTTAGAGTCCTTAAGCATTCACCCTTCTTCCTCCTGCCCATCCAAAATTTTCTGAGCCTCAACAATGCACTAGACATAATTTTAAGCACTGGACAAATTATGTATGCAGTCCCTAACATCAAGGGACTTAGACTAGCAGAGAGGAAATTTGATAAGTAGCGAAGTCTAATGAGGTATCCTACTTTGAATGACAGATGACTAGAGAGACAGAAGGCCTTGCAGAGCTTATTTTCTAAACCAACATGCTTCAGAGAGTGAAACTGAGCTATCAATAACACCTCACCTCAGCACCACAAAAAAAGAATTAATTAAAATAATTATACTAAGACACTAAGTAAATAACCAGCAGTAACCTAAGTCCAGACCTACAGCATAAGCCTAAGGAGGAGTTATTTCTATACATAAAACAAGATAAGAGAGTGTTCCAACAATTATCCAAGTTTGGGGTGAAAATAAATAGTATTACTAAATAAATCTGAAGGCGATTACCCATTTGTTGAGTCATGAAAGACATGGAGGGTATCTTCTAACAGGATGGCAATCACAAAGATGGGGAAAAAGACAGTTTAGAGTAAATTGTCCAAACCTTGGTATAGGTGGTTTACAGGTTCACAAAGATGATACTTAAAAACATAGCATAATCCAGATATAAAGAATATTATGTGAATGGTTTAGCATCATATTATGGAAAATGACTAAAAAGTATTGAGAGGAAGTAATTATTCTCTAGGAAAACCTATGGACTACCAAAGTTCACCACAAAAGGTAATCATTTCCTTGAAATCTTTTTAGATGCGACCAACTTAAGTCTAATTATTATGGTCCATATAAAGATAATAAAAAATGTTCTAGACTACACAGGGTTTGATGATTGTACAATCTCCAAATGTCACTCAAAAGAATATTCAACAATGAAAATGCACAGTCCTTTATGAGAAGCAAATAGTTGAAAGGAATGCCATTTTTCCAACATTCTTGCTATTAGTTTTAATGATTGTTATATCCTCCTCTTGGCTCCAATATAAAATTGACTGAAATTCACTGATTCATTTCAGTGAACTAATGCCACATTTTAAAGCACCTGTTTTTCCACATTCTGTGGGTCAAAGAACATACTAGAGAGCAAAACAAAAGCTTCAGTGCTCACATCTGAACGCCAGACAATTAGGTGGCTTGAGTTATTCTTGGGTTTGGAATTTTACAAAAAAACAATTTGCAAATGAAAATGTAAAAGAAACAGGAAACTACAGAGGGTTATTTTAATTAACTAACTGGGAAAACAGATATGGCAACTGTAATTCTGGTCCAAGTAAATTGACATCATGAATCATAATGCTATTTTAAAACCTCACAAGAATCTATTTTGCTGGTCTCAGTTATCCAAGTTTGGGGTGAAAATAAATAGTATTACTAAATAAATCTGAAGGTGATTAAACTTCTAATTTTTAAGCATTATTTTCTACCTGGAATGCCTTCACCCCAAGTCCAATAAAAGTTTTCTTTCTATAAAAATTTTTCCATATCTATATGCCAACTCCTACATAAAACATCTTTAGTTTCTAACTAACCAGATGTAATTTACTTCTCTAAATCCAACTTGTTCTAAAGAGTTATCTTCACGTCATTTTATTTAAACGTCTCCTCCATCATTAGCCGTCATCTTCCAGCCCTACCTGGTAAAGCAGGCCTTTTCCTGAGAAGGCCTTCCCTTCTTCTCCTCCAAGCAACGCCTGCACAATCTTAGCATGACAAGCTGAATGTGACAAGCACTCAACAAATATTAGCTTAACTATTGGTAAATGAAATAACCATGCTAAACTTCAAAAATGCTGCGTGAAATGTGTTTTTTTTTCTTCCTCTTAGTTACAATGTTTGAAAAATAAAAAAAATAAATAAATTTAAAATTAAAATTAAAAGCCTGTATCAGCTAAGTGGGAAAGTAAGCTAAGAAAGAAAAAGAGAGCTGGAGCAATAGTGTAGCATATTGGGCACTTGTCCTTGAATGTCCTTGAACATGATCTAGGTTCAATCTCCAGCACTCCATATGGGCCTCAGAGCCAGGAGTGATTCCTGAGTGCAGAGACAGGTGTGGCCAAAAACAAAAAATAAGAAAGAATAGTTACAGATTGCTACTGTTTCCCTGAACCAACTACCAGAGTCACTGCATTGGCTATTCAGTTTATGTCCAGCACCAGTTCAGGGTCCCAATTATATCAACTACACCCCCAGATACACAAGGCAGTTAATAATACTTTTCAATTTTATGCAGTGGCTCTACCAAATATAAGGGAACCGGGGATTGTGTGTGTGACTGGGTTTGTGTGCACGTAGACCTAAGTGCACATCAACACGAAGGGTTGTTAAATGCTCTATGTCTATTTTTTTTACAAAATTGCTTTTGACTATTAGCATGAAAATAAAAATTTATTAGAAGCACCAGTGAGTACACTGTACAGAACCTTGTTTTGAAACTCTTAGTTTTTTCCTTAGCTAACTCATGCTGTAACTATCATTCACTCTCCATCCAATGTATTTTCCTTCTTTCTCCTACTCTTTAGCACCTCACTCAAGGTTATCCTCTTTACCCATCCAACTGGTAGATTCCTATCAGCATGTATTATGACCCATCCAATTCCTAGCCATAATCTAATTCCCAGTGTCCCTTTTCAGCTCAACAAATCACTCTCTGTAAATCTGCACTCTTCACCCTTTTTACACCCCAAGCTGGCAGCTGTCCAGCATATGGGTTCATAGATTGGCAGTTATAACCAAGAGGGTAGACCAGTATTTTCATTCTTTCTATACCTATAAGCCAGCACCAGTCCACAGACTGGTAGTTAAAGAGCTAATGTTCCAAGTTACATTCTAAAACTTCTCATGACCAAAACTATTCTGCAGAAGAGACTTAGTCCAAGCAACAAAATGAGAGAGTTGGTTTACAAAACTGAACTTCAGGGGGATGGAGAGTTTGGGGGGCGGAGGGGGAAGGAGGTTAAGAAGGAGGGTCCTAAAGAGGAATCGAAAGAGCTATGCTTATTCTCTCTCTCCTTTTGGGTCCTGTGGTTTGCGGGGGAAGCACTGAGTGGCAATTGGGACAGTGGGGGGGGGGGGGGGGGGGGAGTGGGAGGGAGGCTAGGAGCATTGGAGGTGGGGAATGGGCACTGGTGGAGGGATGGGTACTTAATCATTGTATAACTGAAACCAAAGCACAAAAATTTTTAAGTCTACAACAACTGTACCTCATGCTGTTTTACTAATAAATTTAAAAAAAAAAAAGAAGGAGGGTCCTTTGGACTCTTGGAAGAGGGAGGCAAATAGTCTTGAGATAAATGTGGCGTTGGAATTATGAAACCACCATGAACAGATTTAATAGCAAACTGAAGTACTTCAACAGTAAGATGAAAAATATAATAATAAAATATGTGACTCAGGAAAAAAAAAAGAGAATATCAATATCAAATATCCTATTCTTAAATTGGTGTGTGTGCACCAATACATAGTTGATAAAAATTAAGTATAAAAGATGGGTGCACCAAGCATTCACTTGGAAAGGAATATTTCTTGCACAAAACTATACATACAAATGTGTTTGGTTTTTATTAGGGCAATTCAATCATTGAGGTTTAATGAATATTTTCAAGTCTCTTGAATATTATTTCAATATCAGTTGAAATAGACAAGAAAAAGAGGAGCAAATTGTCTCCTTTAACACAGAAAGGATACCAATTAGAAGTCCAGAAAGATATTAGGCAAAAACAATCCAAGCTGGCTCACTCAGTAATGAACAAAGAGAAAAAATTCTAAACAACCTTAGTGATACCCTTATATAAGGGAGAGGGGCCTGAAGTTGTGGGAAGTTACAAAAAAACTACATGCGGTGATTCAGAGAGAAAGGTTGATGTTTCAGAGTAGGAAACATCTTTTTAATCTTTTTGCATCTTCAGACCAGTATTTGAAAACATTTTTGTAATCTTTTTGCATCTTCAGACCAGTATTTGAAAAACCTACCAGACACTGTTCTATAAAAGAGAGAGAGAGAGAGAGATTAGCTTACAGGTCAGAGAATTAGCTCGATAGACTAACACATGCTCTACATGAGGGAAGCTCAGACTTGGTCAGAGCATCTTATGGAGTAACTCTCTTGGAGTAACTCTCAAACACCATCAGGTATGGTCCAAAAAAAAAAAAAAAGCCTATCGGTGTACTATCATACATACTAGCACATTTGGAATAACATATCAATGTGGTCTGACTTCTCAATTAGACTGTTCAACCACAAAGTTAAAAAGAGAGCAAATCTGGGTCCGGAGTGATAGTATGGTGGGTAGGACACTTGCCTTGCACTGCAGCTGACCCGTGTTCAATGCCTGGCAACAGAAATGGCCCCCAAGCCCTGCCAGAATTGATTCCTGAGCACAGAGTCAGGAATAAGCCCTGTGTACCATCAGGGGTGGCCCAAATATTTTTTTAAACAACAATTTGAAAAAAAAAAAAGAAAGAAAATCTAGGTAGGAAACCCCGGAACGGCCTGGAGACTAGAGTATATGGACTGCTGAACACTGTTACCTAAATCAATGTAATAATCACTGGAAAACCAAAGTATTAACAGAACAAGAAAACTTATCAAGAAAGAGACTAATATCAGAAATTCAATATTTTCAATTAAGAAAAGCAGGTATATTGAATGGCCGAAAAATAGACATCTGAAAATAAAACTGCACTCATATTTATACCTTTTATCAAAATGGGGCAGAAAGGGGGTCCGGGGTGATGACACAGCAGGGAGAGAGTTTGCCTTATACACGACAGACCCAGGTTCAGTCCGCAGCATCCCAAAAGGTCCCTCCAGTCCCACCAAGTGTGATCCCTGAGCCCAGAGTCAGGAATAAGTCCTGAGCACTGTTGGGTGTGAATCAAAAACCAAAAACCAACAACAATATCAACAATAGTACCAAAAAGATCAAACATTTAAATATACAAATAAAACCATAATGTACTGGAAGAAAATGCAGGTGTATGATAATTTTGCAGTCTGTACCTGACCAAGCATTAGTACCTCAGGGCCATTCCCTATCATTCCCTAAATTCTTAGAAACTTAGTTCTCTAACAAAATTAACTCTAAAGTAAAATTTCTGGAAATAGCACTAAAGCCAAATATTTAAAATCAAGGAGTTTAAAAATAAAATAAAATCAAGGAGTTCATAACTTCACCTGAATAAATTTAAATTTCTGTACCACAGAAAATACCAGAAATAGCAAAAATGTTTTTTTTCAAAATGTGATATAAAGCAATACCACTAAACTATAAAAATTTCTCAAAACCTAACTGGAAAAACTTAACACTTCCAAAAGATTTTATAATGGATTTAAAACTAGAAAAGTCACAGAAGAAATACAGTAATTCATAAAGGAGAGAAAGGATTTTAAGCCTCATCTAAATTTATCTAGCTACAAATTAGGAAGTAAACATTTATTTTGCTATGTGTCAGACACTATTAACCTACTTCACAAACTATTTATCTTAGTCTTCACAACAGCACAAGAACTAAATACTGTTATTAACCTCACTTTACTCCCAGAGAGGAAAATACTGGATCTCTCACATATACATATAACACTTGATGGGATATCAACAGTTAGAAATGAGGCTTAATCATTATGCTATACTCTCCTTTAGGATAGGAAAGTCATTCCTTTTTCTCATCAAATTAGAAAATAACACATTTTTAAGCGCAGGGTGTTAGACATGTACCAATGCTTTATACACACTTTGGAGAAGTATATGTGTGTGCATGTGTGTGTGTGTGTGTGTGTGGTGCACGCAGCTATACGTGTGTGCATCTGGTGTGTGTGTGTGAGTGTGTGTGTGTGTGTGTGTTTAAACTTTTCTGGAGAGACAGAGCCAGAGGCATAGTTCAATAGACTGGAGCACAGGTTTTCCATGCAGGTGACCTGAACTCAACCCCCCAATATCTACTGCTACAAATGAGCCTCCACTCGCTCTCACCCTTGAATATAAGGTTTAGGGAGGCCCTTTGGAGTTTTCTCCGGGCTTGATATTCACATACTGAGGAGATGGGGGGCGGGGGAAGGGCTATATTTCCACTATGCAACTTGCCTTACATAAAAGAGCCTTCATGCAAAATAAGACCACGCAGACAAATGAAGCAAAGAAACTTAACGGCCCTGGCCACTAACAATCCAGCCCCAGATCCAGCCATGCCTACAACATGAAAAACTAAAACTTGCTAATTATTCGAGCAAATGCACTACATTTTTTCTTCAGGTTTTTTTTAAAGCTGGTCTGCAATTCCTGCAATTAAAAGATTCTCAATACTTTCATTTCTTCCCCTTTTTGGGGAGGGGGGGTGGGAGAGAGTTTGGGCCACACCTGGTGGTGCTCAGGGGTAAATAAGTTACTCCTCACTCTGCACTTAGGAAATCACTCCTAAAGGTGCTTAGGGGACCGTATGGGACACCAGGAATCCAACCCAGGTTGGCCATGCGTAAGCCAAGCGCCCTACCCTCTGTACAATCAATCCAGGCCCACAAAGGCACTCTTTAAGACAGTACTATTATTAGACTACATAGTTTATGAGCCAAGAAAAAACACAGTATCATAAACATAATTAAAACACAAGTGAAATAATATAGTCTCCAATACCCATTCCTTCTCCCTGCACATTCCCCACCACTTAGAAATGTCCCCAGTTTCCCTCCTGCCACAATCCCCATTACCTATCCCCCTCGCTCACTCCCTCCCTCTCCCCACTCTTATCTCCCCCCCACATTTATCCCCTCCCCTCCTCCTTCCTATCACCCTCCCCCCACTCTCTCTCCACATTATGGTTTGCAATACAGGTACTGACAGGTTATCACGTACATCTCTTATCCCTTTCAGCACTCAATTCTTTTCCAGAGCAATCATTTCCAACTATATGATTGGATTTTGTTCACTTACTCTCATACTCAGGAAAATGATCAATATGGAATCCATTTAACTACTTTTCCAATTGCTCTCTTTACTAAAGAAAACATCACAAGGAGCCAGAGAGCCAGATCAAAGGGCTGAGTATGTGCTTTTCAATGATGTCTGACTGCCAGAAGCAATCATCTAGCCACAGAGCCAGAAGTAGCCACAGAGCATCAGCAAGTGTGGCCTAACCGCCCCCACGCCATCCACAAAACACAGAGTGGGGGGAAAAAGGCATCTCAAAATTCATACGTAGACTCAAACATTAAATCCACTTAGGATCAGGGAGATGGCTCAAAACACTAGAGCCAGTTCCCTAATTTGAGTGCCCAGAGTCTATGGGCGCCCAGGTTTTATACCCTAAAAACCACTAAGGATGGAAACTAAGCACTAGAACAGGAGCCGATAGAGCTTCCCCAAAAATTCTTTAATTAACTCAACAAAAGAGCACTCAACAAAATTCAAACTAGTCTGTCTGTCTGGTCCTTTGAGAGTTCTCTTTAGTAAAGAAAGCCATGAAAGGGGAGTTTAACAAACTCTAAACCTTTAACTGCTAAAAGATGGACTGAACTGAACATTCTAATATAAACGATTCAATTCTAAATTTTCTAATTAATAAGAAAACATGCTTGCAACAGAGAAAATGGCAATATTTTTTAAAAGATAAAATGTGACTTACCCCATCTAAGAGAGTATTTGATAAATGTATTCGGTGATCTTTACGAAATGGAAATTCCAGATTTGAGACATGAAACACTGAATTATCTCTATCAATCATAAAGACTTCATTTGTGCCATCAATCAACATCATATACCTATAAATAAAATATTTTAAATATGTAGTATTAATGATGCAATTCAAGAATAGGATCATAAGAAGTAACAGTCCTATTATTTTTCCTAAGATTTACAATACATGCATGAAATAAGGTTCACTGGCGTCCCCCTTCCCAGCCCTATAATCATTCAGATTGAAGCACCACAAATTACAAGTAACATTTTCCACACATATTTCCTATTTTTAAAAATCATAGGGTATATGAAAATAAGTTTTTTATGGAGACAATGTAACATTCAAGAGCCATCTTATGGTCCAGTTTTAGAGAGAACAGTCTCAATTTTTTATTAGACATTAGACATCAAAGTTTACAAAACATGTATGTATATGCAATGGCTACATTTTATTGGTTCAACAATACAGAAATTAAGAATTACTATCTCTTTTATTGGAGAATAAAACATTATTTTCAAATCCCCTGAGCCCTACCAGGAGTAATTCCTAAGCATGAAGCCAGGAGTAAGCCCTGGGCACTGCCAGTAAGTATGTCCCAAAAACTAAAAATTTGTTTAAAAAGAATAGAGTCCACTTCATGCTATATGTAAAAATAAAGTCAGCCTGGAATTCACTAAGGATATTACATACTAACAGGCAATTTTATCAAATGCATAATGACAAGATTTGGGGTGAAAGTGGAAACCACTTTCAGGTAACAAACTCTTCAAAAAATGAGAGAAAACTGGCGGCAATAAATTAGAAAGTTAAAAGGTCATGAGACTCTTTTTGTTTGGTGTTACATGAAATTAATCAAAGAGTAATAGTCTGCAGGAAGGATTACAGTGAAAGTCTGCATGTGCCACTGACATTGGAAGAGAATGCTACAGTCTTATACAAGCTATACTACCCATGACTTATATCTTATTTTTTTTTAAATTTAAAAGAAGAAAAAAGAAGATAAATTAAAGAGGGAGCTCAATTAGACGAAGCTGAATTCGGATCAGGGAGGAAAAGAAACACTAAAGTAAGAGAAGGAATTAACTAAAATAAGAAAAGGAAGTAATAAGGTAGCAATAGAACAGAGGATATTTTCTTTACCAAATACAAGTGTTCTAAAGAGCAAACACTTTAAGTGAAGCCAGAGTTACTGTACAGTGAATAGGGCATTTGTCCTGCTCATGGCCAACCCCAGATTCAATTCCTGGTGTCCCATATGGTCCCCCAAGTCCCACCAGGAGTGATCCCTGATATAGTGTCAGGAGCAATGTAAACCAGCAGTGAGCACAGCCAGGGGTGGCCCAAAAGCAAAAACAAAGTTTAAGCTAGGTGAGGAGAAATGAGAGACCTGATTAAGATAAAAGAAGCTTTGGGCCTTATACGTAGCAGACTAAGGTTCAATCCCAGCATCCCATATGGTCCCCTGAGCACCACCAGGAGTGATCCTGAGTATAGAGCCAGGAGTGAGGCCTGAGCATCACCAGGTCTGACCCAAAATTTACAAAAGAGGAGGAAGAGAATGGGGGGAGGAAGGGGGTGGAGAAAGAAGAGAGACGTAGAAGAAGGAGAAGAAAGAATAGGAGGAAAAGGAAGAGGAAAGAAGAGGAGATGGTGGGGGAGAAGGAAGGGGGGGGAATGGGAGGAGGAGGTCTTCCACAGTTGAAAAGCACAAGGAAGTATATTTTCAAAATACTTCATTTCAATGAAATACTTCATTTCAATAAAGCTCCTTGGGGATGCTGAAATGCGCTACACACTGAAACAGTCCTCCAGTGTTCTGAGATTAGGAGAGCAGAGACTAATTTCACTAAGAAAAACAAAATCTGCCTGAGTCTGGACTGACTGCTCACCCAAAGGGCTACCAAAACAACTGCAGACCAGGGGAATGGTTAGCCCCTAGGTCCTCTTGCACGCGCTTCCAAAAAACAGCAATTCCAGGTGGAGAGGGCGAAGCAAACCCCAAGTTACCTGGAAGAAGTCAGCCTTGCCCTGAATCATTTTTCAAGGATAACTTCAGTCAATACAAAAGCCAAATAAAAATCAACGGTGCTCACCTCACCAAGATGTGTCGATTCTCACATGTGTGAGAGAGAGAGAGAGAGAGTGTGTGTGTGTGTGAGTGTGTGTGCGCGTGCGTGTTGGGGGTGGGGGGGTAGATTCTGGAGTCATGCTTGCTGAGAACAGTTCAATGCTCAGGGCTCACTCTGGTGGTGCTTAGGGGACCGTATTTGGCACCAGGATTCTAATCTGAGTCTTCAGCATGTAAAACATACTCCCCAGCTCATTGAGCAATCTCTCCAGCTCCAAAAGCTTGATAACTTATGTTAAACAAATTGTGGGGCAATGTAAGTAAGGGAATTGCTATATGTCTCTAAGAAAATCGTAATACAAATTAATACTACTTAAAATTAAGAGAACACATAAAAGTCTATCTCTGTAGTCCTTTGTTTCTTAACTCAATCCTGGGGGCTGCAGCAATAGCACAGAGGCTAGGGCATTTGCCTTGCACACGGCCAACCCGGGTTCAATTCCCAGCATCCCGTAGGGTCCCCCAAGCACCTCCAGGAGTAATTTCTGAGTGCAGAGCCAGAAGTAACCTCTGTGCATTGCCAGGCGTGACCCAAAAAGCCAAAAAAAAAAACCCTCAATCCTGATGAGGGAAACATTTTATTTCACAATCTGGAAAAATACAATTTATGCAAGTATGCAAGTAAAGTTCAAAAAGATGTTAAACAGTTTACCTCTTCTGACCATATAATAAAAGGAAAGTATAATATCCTTTCACTGATTGTCTAAGAGCTCAGAAGAAAATAAAATGTCCAAATATAATAAATTCCTAATCCCTGGGAGCTGGCACATTTATTTTTCTTGACATAATTGCCTATTTTCTATCACTAGGTTTTAATGCACTTACTCCAAAGAGTGAGGTAGTTAGACAGATACACAGATATAGTTAAAAATTAGAGTTTTGTTTTCACTTCAAGCAGAACATCTATGGCAAAAAAATACTGCGTGCACATGTGTATAACAAATTTAAAAGACCAGGGAAGAAAGGTTTGAGAAGATAGAATTCACCGTAAAGGGTTGCTCAAGAGAAATACAGTCTTGCATCTGCCAAGATACCAGAGAATTATTTAGCAGCTGGTATTTAGGGATTCTTCTGCACTTGAAAGTTTCAGGCTCTGAAACAAGTTTCTGGGATATGGATTTTGATTTGAACCCCAGTTGTTACAGACCCCAAGGTGATTCCGTGCTCAGCATAACAGAAAATGACAAGAGGCCAAGGAGAGATATAGGAGGCATTTACTGAAGCTTCAACTCAAATCGGAGGGATGGCTGATTCTCTGAACAAAAGCCTGGAAACTTTTTTTTTTAAAGCCAGAATATAAACTTGTGTACTCTCTATGGAACATAGTATGGAAATTCCTTAAAAAATAAAAAGGAAAATGGAAACTTCTTTTTTAAGGGGGTGAAGCTGGTGTCAGAGGTACAAGTTTGAATCCCAATATCACAGTCACTCTGGAAACTTTTTTTAAGGGGCAGGGATGGTGTCAGAGGTGCAAGTTTGAAGTCCAATATCATGGTCACTCACCTCCCTGGCAGCCCTGTCCCCTGGACCAGGCACCCATGTACTTGCTTTAACCAATCACTGCAGGTCAGCTCCTCCAAGAATAGCCCCAGACCCTGAACACCACTGGAAGCAACCACTATATTTTTTTAAGTGGGAGATGGTACCCCTTATGGTCCTAGCAGGCCACCAGGAGTGATCCCTAAGCACAGACCCAGGAGTGCAGCCCAAAAATAAAACCAAATCAAACAACAACAAGAAAAAAATTCCTGGGGGCATGGTGCCACCAGCAGGTCAATCTGTACCTATGAGGCAAGTGTATCAACAGCCTCATGGCGCCTTCAGACTTCCAGATACCCCAAAATTGCTGCTGTGCCTTTGGACCCCAAAAACTTGGGGCAAAGTTTACCAAGAAAGTAAACAGCCAAAAGTTAGGTATGTGGGAGACACACCCACAAACCACCTCGGGCTCAGCTATATAATTGGAGGCATGGTATCTCTGGTTCCTGATCGAACTGCTTAACGGCCATGATCCCAGAGACTCAAAAACAAATCTCGAAACCCAGCGGCTTTTGGCAGAAACGTGTCCGGTCTCTGCAGTAGGTCACCGGCACTGGGCCAACCCAGGTGGGACTAGGTTTTGTGCCTTGATCTGTTCCCCCAGGCGCCCCACTGGCCGTCATCCTCCAGAGGCCACTGGACAGTCAGGTTTGGGCCCACAGTGATGAGACATGCAGGGCCTCACAGGACGGGGGTGGAGCCAGCCCTTTTCTCCCCACCCCAACGAGACCGAGTCGCCGCCCATGAATGGCCTCTCTGGCTCCTGATCAAGCTGCTTAATGGTCATGATCCCAGAGACTCAGAAACAAATCTTGTAACCCAGTGGCTTTTGGCAGAAATGCATCTGGACCCCGCAGTAGGTTACTGTTGCCAGGCCATCCCAGGGGGTAAAGAGTGCTGTCCCTCCACCTGCTCCCCCTTGGCGGCTCAGTGGCCGCCATCTGCCAGAGGTCATTGGACAGTCAGGTTTGAGTCCGCAGTGATGAGATACGTTGGGCCTCACAGGATGGGGGTGGAGCCGGCCCTTTCCTCCCCACCCCAACAAGACCCCAAGTCATCGCCAACAAACGGCCTCTCTGGCTCCTGATCAAGCTGCTTAACGGCCAGGATCCCAGAGACTCAGGAACAAATCTCGGAACCCAGCAGGTTTTGGTAGAAATCCCTCCAGATTTAAATGTTAAAATTATTAAAACTGAATAGCCGAGATCAGTACCAGGAGGATTACTCCATGTCTTAGAGGCCAGCCAGGTATTCTAGGGGAAAGGCCAGCTCAGATAGAGAAGGGGGCACCAAATAAAGAGTGTTTGGAGGATCCTCCCAGGAGGGGAGATGCATGTTGAAAGTAGACTATGAACCAAACATGATTGCCACTCAAAGCCTCTTTTGCAGACCACAACACCCAAAAGGAGAGAGAG